AATCACATAGACATCTGACCCTATGAGAATTTAATTTTTTTGGTAAAGTTTATATATTGATAAGACTAACAGTAATACTGAGGAATAGTAGTTCTGAATGAGTTTCTTGTTATCTTGGGTAGTTTATTTAAGGAAGGTCTTGGAATAGGAAGCTATAATCAATGTTTGTGGCTTTCTTATAAACAAAAAACTCTACATATTCCTTGCTCAAGGTGAAAGCTTTAGCAGCTTAAGTATATCAGGAAATACCAGTAACTCTTTCGACAAGCAAACTGTTTCCTCTATCAATAGTTACTGGCCTATTTGTATATGGAAGCTTATTAGTTATGCATTACCAGTTGTACTTGTAATCTCCTTTGTGTCTGTTGGCATATCACTCATAATGTTGATTTAGTACTATTTAATGGGTTTTGATGTGTTTCCTTGGTCTTGCATGACCCAGTGTATTCAGCTATTCAGTTTGTTTAGCCCTTGTCTGTGAGACTGCTCTTTCTTGTACCTTTTTGTCTGCTTAACATTCATTTTGTTCACTCTCTTAGACTCACAGTGAAATGTTTTGTTACCTGTTCTCACTCAGGGCATTTGTTTTTCTTCTCCCTGCCTCACCTCTCAGTTTCTTAACCAGTTTAATACTTAGTCATTTCCCCCTATCTCCTGCCTCAGATTTTCAAGTTGTTTTTACCCCTTCTGGCTAACTATTGTTTTCTCTACCACTTCTTATATCTGCTATTCTGCAATTGCATCAATTACTGCACCAATGAAATGCTGATGACACTTGCAAATTCTTGTTTGTAATTAAAAGGAATCAAGCTTTGTTTTTCTATTGATGATACTATTTATCTGTAATCTGTTACACCTAAAATGTGTGAATACAAAATTTCTGCCTGATTTTTCTGGTCTAATTTCTCAATGAAACAAGACTCTTTCAGTCATCCAGTTTTGTCCCTCATAACTTCCCATTCTGATTGGAATTGCAATCAAACTGATAGTGAAATTTCTGCAAGCTTTCTGTAAATTAGTACCTGTCTCAGAAGGCCCTTGCTAGCACAGTAAGGAAATACATGGAATCAAAATAGGTGGTGAAAAGGTAAAATGAAGAAAACTAAATTGGTTCTCTTCTCTGAAGTAATTGCATTTCATTACAATGGTTAGATGGATGTAAAATGGATCATAGGTGGTATGGGCAGCCTTAGTATGTTACCATGCTGCAGGAATTGAGTAAACCCCTTTTGATATAGTTGCAATTCATTTAAACATAAGCTGAAGTCTGTTTTCAAGTGTGTTCTGTCTTAGTAAATCTGTAATTGGGTGCCAGCCTATAACCAAGATACATGTGAAGGAAGGGATAGGGATTTTTGTATATCTTTTTGGCCATTGACGTTATAAATTGTGTAATGTTACTCGAGAGAATAAGTGCAGGTAATTGATTTATGAGTTTATTTCCTTGGCAATTTCTGTGATGAGTAACTGTGGTGTTGAATGACTTTGGTAGTTCAGAGTAGCTTAGCATGTTTTCAAATATAGGTTTGAATGAGACACGCTTTTTAAAGTGATTGATAACCCTGCTAATAACACTTTGATTTATGTAGTTGGAGTACTCTTGAAGATGACAAACTGAATTCATCTTCAATGACAAGATTCTAGGAATGCAAGTAATGTCCTCAAACTGTTGGACTGTTGGTATTTAGTCATTAAGACCAGACTAGATACAATCCACAACACTGTGCTCCCAGTACTGACACCCACTCCCCTGAGCTGAACTGCCTGTGTGTGAATGTCAGGTCCTCAAAACCTATCATTCTGTTTTGCAGATATGCTCCTGTCTGCTGTGGTACTTGCTAATGTAAATAGAGATTTAGAGACCGAAGGTGTGATTTTATGTCTATTAAAGACAGGCTTCAGGCTTCATTTCCAGGTTTATTTAAGGATAACTTTCTTGGGTAAATTCTAAGTAGAACCTTTGAGAAGGAAGAGGAAATTCATGACCACTCAAGCATTTGATATTGTAAATAATTAAATTTGCCAAAATGGTAACATTTACATTTACTTTGGAACTGCACAGCAGGAGGAATAAAGGTTTGCTTTCAGCACTGAACATGAAGCTACTTTTTCTACCAAACCTTGAATGAGAGTATTGATAATAGCCTCAACAAAAGATGCTTTGGAAAGGAGGCCTTTCCAGCAATTTGGATGATTTATGAAAAGCATTGAGGCATTAACAAAGTTCATTACCCAAACCATTACTGCACTGTAGACCAGAACCAGCAGATTAAATAGCTTTCTCAAGTAATAGTAAATTCAATATCTTTATATCTAGAGGACCTGAAAACTTGAGAGTGAGAGGGGCTAAAAAGAGTAACATTATTGATGATGGGGTATTGCAGGTATTGCAATGAAGAGACCTTGTGGGGTTCTGCATCCATTCCATAGTACTACATTGTGCAGAACATTGATTCAGAAACCTTTGTTGCTTGCTAGAACTTTTTCACATTGTTTACTGAATTGTGGAGGTTATGTGTCCTCCCACCTTGCCCTGCCTAGCAGTAGTCTAGAGAAAAACTACAAAGTGATATTACTGCCTCACTTTCCTTACACTGCCTATGCTGGCTGTTTTCTATAATTCACATTTTTTTGTTGTTTTGGTTTGGTTTGTTATTTTTTCTCCATCTAGTTTTGTAAGGGCTACAGCTGAAACAGAGCTATTCCTCAGAGTCTGCCAGTACAAGTTGTGCTACAGCTGTCTAGGGATGGCGAAAGAGGGGAGGCTGTTTTCCACCTACTCAAAATAGTTCATAAGTTTTGTCCTACAGTATATTAAGTACAGCTCGTATGTTTGCAATGGAAGTTTTTGTAGTTAATTAGAACTTGCAGATAACTGGAAAACTGATGGCTTTCCAGCAGCACAGTGGTTATAATGTAATAGGTGACAGGTGAGAATGTGGCCATGCCTCACCTGGTGCTGGCTCACCTTTGAAAATACTGACGTGGTTGTGGCCAGGTTGTTTGACAGATGTCATAGTTTATGGTAAAGCTTTAAAATTCATAGCAGTGTTATGAAAATCCTGTGTAGAGTTGTTTTATGTGAAGGCTCATATTATTATTTGCTTATGACTGGATGGATCAGAACTGCTTAGGCATTGAAAATTTTGTCTAATGATTCTTCTAACAGTTGCTCAGTGACTCCCACCCTTAAAGGTAGCTGGTCCTGTGCTTTTGGAGAAAAAGCATTACTTTTGAGCCCTGCTATTGCTTTAAAGTTCTGTCTTGTGTGACTGTAGGTTTCTAACGGGGCACTATTGGACAGGTACAGCACTACATGTATGTCCCTTTAAACATTTGACAGTGGGAATGCTATGTTTGTGATAAGAGGCTGTTATAATTCGAGGAAGTGAGCTGTGTAGCTTTGGTGCTGTTGCTGACCCAGTAACACTATAGTCACTCATCAGTTAGGGTGGAATAGACTGCCTTTTTAATACTATGCAAAGCTGATCTCTGCGTGGCAAATTGTTGCTTCTTGCAAAGAGAAATAAGAAACATGAACAGCTTTAATTTCAGTGAAAGTGCTCTTTTATCTTTGGTAGTATCAGCTGTTGATAAATACCAGTGTTGATCAACAGAACATACACAGGTGATGCAGGAAATAGGTTAAAATATTTTGCTGTCCTACTAATTTTCAAATTGGATATGAAGCAAATTGCAATTTCATCCTTTTCAATAATAAAGAGTAGGACTTAAAGGCATAAACTAGAGCAATGGAATAATCAGCAGCACTGTTGCTTCCAAGCAGGTGACTGAAATTTTAATTCCATTAAATTTTTTGCTTTGGAGATACAGCTTGTATTTTCAGCCATTTGTCTAGCCACATAAGCTGGAATGTGTTCAAAATGTTTGCCAAGAACAAATCCGTTGGAAGAAATGTTATACTTTGACCCAGGTTCAAGATGTTCTAAAGCAACAAGAAATAAATATTTCTGAAGACTTATTTAATGTTCAACTTAGATAATTGTTGGGTTTTTTTGTCCCTGTGATCTGATATATGCTTGCTTATTAGTGTACACATAGTAATTTCCTATGTATTTCTCTCTACTTTTCCTCTATTTTAACTTGATACTTCTATCTTTTTCTGTTGGCATTTGTCCTTTAGAGAAAGTTTGGATGTAGAATGCTGTAGCAACAATTTATTTAAACCCAATTTAATGATAATTGAATTTCTTTTTGTTTTGATTATCCACCATCCCTAGCAAATTATTAGAAATTCAAGAAAGTTAATTTTCTTACGTGGATATACTTAGATTTCTGTATTCTATTTTTGAAAAACTTTTTCAGTAAGATGTAGTGAGTATTTTGAGCATGAACATGTTTGAATCTTCCCTTAAATTTTGTACTTTATTTTCGGCTGTCTGTCTGGGGTCCAGCACAATTGCCAAAGACTACATTTAGTGTGTTGACCATCAAGTTGACACGGGATGATAGTTGGGCATCCACATCGGTGAGAGCTTTCTTGCTGAATACAAAGAACTTTTTGACTTTCCTCAGAGTTGGACAGAGCTGCTGTTGAGAGTTACTTGGTTTTTTTCTCTTGGACAGACTGCAAAATGTGATCTAACAGGCTGATTTGTGGTTAATAGCAGTGGGTGAGACTGGAGCCTGGAGATCTGCTTGATGCAAGAATTGAGCTAATGGATTCGATTTCTATATAATAAACTTATTTCTTGGAATGCTAAGTAATTTGGTTGCTTTGATTATAAGCTGAGGTTAATTTTATTATTAATTAAAAATAAAGTTTTCTGAATAAGTTCATAGCAATGCTTGTAACTCTTGCTACTGCAGTTACACTGTGCTCTAAAGAGATGGGAAAGGATTACCAGAAAATAAGTTATGCACACGGGATTGCTGTGTCAGAACCAAGGATGTTTTGCTTATAACTTTGGAGGACTTTCAGATGATCTGAAAAGTATGAGACCATGCTTCTCAGCAGATGCCATATTTATGCCTTTCAGATGACAAATGACAAATGTAAAATCAAGAATGACATAAGACGATGTCAAGTATTAGCTTTTGACTAAGGATAGTTGCAAGGAAGCAAAGACAAAAAGGTATGTAATTGTATCCACAGTAGAAATATGATAAAGCTTATTGGTATGAGTCCTATTTTTAAAATTCATTAAAATTAATGAAGTAACTTAAAGGTTTGTTTGTTCAGTTACAGAGGACTCTTGAAGACATGAAAGCATGACTCATGCATACTTTTTTTCACTGGTTTTAGGGATGTTGTAGATGATGATGGGGGCTCTCAGTCTCTGTAAATTACTTCCTTGCAAAATAAAAAAGCCCCAACAAGTGTTTCCTAATCTCTTGATCAGCATGCTGACATCCCAAAATTTTATTTTTCAGTGAGAAAATGCTATTTTGGGCATTTTGTTTTAATGCTGCAACAAAACAAAGAATATTAATATATCCTGTACTTTGCCTGTAAATGGCTATAAAAACGCAAATTTCTTTTGTTTGTTCAAGGTTAGGAATATTTCTGGTTTTTCAGAGTTCAAGGAAGTCCAATTCCCAGTGCTAAAATTCATTCAGCTTTTTGATCTTTAAGCACTTTATTAAAATAAGATCAGTTTACTTTGTGGTTATGGCCTTAAATACATTGCCTGGAGTGTTTTTAATTGATAAACAATAATCGAACTGTAGGGATTATGGATTTTCCTGTAATCCTTTTTTCCTTTGTCTTCTGTGTAAATCTTCCTCCCTTTTTTACTCTTTCTTTCCTGAAGGGTAAGCAAACATGGAAGGAAGAACATCTTATGGTTTCTTTTCGGTAGGATTAAACTACAGAAAATTATGTGCTAGGTAGAAAACTGAAAACATTTTGGAGTGCTCTTTGAAGCCACAGACCCACATGAGGAAATTATGGTGGGGTTGCCACCCAAACTGTTTTTAAGTGGAGAAATTTTATTTTTGAAAGTGAAGACAAGCTGCTTGCTTAGAATAAAAATTTGTTTTTATGGCATCTTATCAAAGGCTGCTTTTCTCTCCTTCAACTTTCATCCCACCACCTCCTGCCAATTTCTACTATATGCACATGCACCAAAGCAAACATGCCCCTCCAACCTAAAAAAAAAACAAACCCGGAGTATTTATACTCTTACTCTCCCTCAGTCCATCTGTCCTGCTTCTAGTGTTATGACCCAGTGTTGTTCTGCTTTTCTCACTTCATGGGATTGCGTCCCAAATTGCCACTTCAGGCAGAGTACATGTTGCCATTTCAACTGTAGATGGGTGGTGAGAGAGATGTAGTGACATCTGTCAGCTAGAAGAAGAGAATGGGTTGGCAGAAGCATTGCTGAAAATAAATTTGAGGAGCAGAAGGAAGAGCAAAACTGACTCCATAATTCAGCTAAAGAAATGGTTTTATGCGTTTATTTAATATACCAAGGAACATAGAAAATGTGCAGTTAGCAAAAGGGTGCGTAAACATCTGTTACCAGATGAGTCTGGTTGTAGTTGCATTATTTTTCAGCTACCTCCTCTTCCTGAGGTGCTGGGAATGGAGACTGCCTGTGAGGTACGTAGGAAAGGTGTACACCTTCAATCAGTTGGAAGGCTCACTGTGACCTTGGACTTGCAGATGTGAGCTTTACTAGCGTGTCTCTGCTTCTTCCAGAACATGCTATCACAAATCTTGTCTTTTATAGGACTGATCACAACTGAATGACTAAAATTTATTTTAAAATTAACAAAAATGTTATAAGGTGCCTTAAAATTTATGACTGGAACTTGAATTAATTGTTTACTGATTAGTTGTTGAAATCAGTGGAGTCTTCCATGCTTAGTTATAAACTAACTCTGATTTGATTGTATTCTCCTCTCTGTTCAAAGTAGCCACCAGGTTGGTGTTTCAGGTTAATATGTGATATTTAGTTTTTTTCTAAAACACTGTAAAATGCTATATTGCTGAATTTATCTCTCAGAAGAAAAAAATAGCAGCTAATGTAAGTTAGACGGTTACAAGTCTGTAGTTTTCTTCTTTGTTGCTATGAGCCACTCAGGCTAGGAGGGCAGGATGCAGCCCTTCTCACCCTAGGTAGGCGTGAAGTCAGCCTTTGGCTGTCCCACTGTCCACCCTCCACTTTGTGTTTGACATGGTCAGTGACCAAACAGCAGCTGAACTGCTTCTGAACTTGCAGTGTAGCAGCTGAGGGCCCTGAGTTTTGTTCAGATGTGTGGATGGCTTTAAGTTTGTTGAACCTATTTCCTAAGTTTATTGGTTATTTAATTGCCATGTCAGTACTGGAGTCAAAGTCTACATGATACGAAGATACTTGACAAGATTTGAGCACACATCCTGTTGAAATGCAAGTATTATTACCAGAAATCAAGCTGCTTTTTTATTCTGAGATCTAGTTTATCCTTTCTTATCTTCTACCAAGACAGCATATGACTGGTTTTGATTTCATTTGTATGTAGTTAGCTGTAGCTTATCCTGTTGTTAATACTGTATTTTGAAAGAATGAAAGGTAGATTCAGCCTTTAAAAGGACTAAAGAAAGCCAACATCTTGCAACAAGTAAAAGAGGGGTGAGGTATCGGCATGGATTGCACTATTTCAAAATGCAGATGGGCCAACTGGGGTGGGACATCTGCAGAGATATTCCCGCAGGAATAAAGAACTGTAGTACTGGGAAATCCATTAATTTGCATTCAGTTGGGGTATAGTGCACATCTGTTTAGGCAATGCAGCTGCAGTAGGAGACAGTGGTTAACATCAGCCTGGAATTCTAGTTTACGTATATGTTGAAGCATGTCTGGTTTAAACTATGAAAATCTAGCAGTCCCAGTTTGGACTCATTACTCCTAGAAAGGAGGTTTTAGGGGATTGCCTATCCCTTTTAAGATGCATTACATCAGCTTCTGCATGAAGCATGACTCCTGGCATCTCTTAGCAGAGAAGTACTGGGGTATGGCAGGTGTTTTCACTCACCACTGTGTTTTCTGGCTGTAGTTCTGGTGTGTTGGCAGCCCACTGGATTGACACTTGAGTTATCATTAGCTCTCAGGTTAACACACCATTCGTAAGAATAGATGAAATTCACTTCTTGATGTTTGTCCTCTGTTGATCTGTAACAAGTTGTTCCACAGAACTGAACAGTTGCAAGCAGAAGTGCGGTGCGCCCTCTTCAGAAAACAAATCTGGAAAATACATCAGTATTTGTATTAGGGTCCTGATGTGTGGGTTCTTAAGAGCACCTCTTTGAGCTGCTTGTGATACAATGACAAATTGTGTGAGGTCAGGCATAGTGGCATGATATTGCAGCTGAATACCTGTTGCTTGTGTATGGATGCATGTATAAGAAGAGAGGGATTGCTGTGATCGAAGGTTTAGAAGGCTAATGAAACAAAACAGTTTTAAACCAGCTTTAAGCTTTATAACAAAATTTCACTAGACTGATACTCATTAACAATACACATTACTAATGTCTAGTTCTTACTCATTCCTAGTCATTACCACTGCATATTCAAAGCAATTAGTCTGTAACAATCTCATTATAAATTAATTGTGAGCACACAGGACCACAGAGCTGGTGCTGTGTATTTAGCACTGATAGCTATGATCCTTGGTGGTGAGATGTTCAAGGCTGTCACAGGTGCCTTTTGTTGATTAGAACTTTTATTCCTCCTTTTCAGCTTTTGCTGCTATTGAAAGAAAAGCAAGTGAGGGGTTTTTTTTTAGCAAATCTCAAGGTTGTACTTCATCAGTGACTAATAATTGACCATCACTGAGTTGCTTAAAGTTTTGAGTCTTCTGCTTCATGAACCTGTGTTTGTATTTTCAAGGCCTTTGTTCTTATCTCATATCTAAGCTGTATGCCATAACAAGAGGCAGCTGGTACCCAGCTGTAGCTCACACAGCAAGTTCTCCTAATAATTCACAAGCATAAGAGGCCAGAATTTGGGCCTTGCACTTTGGCATAGGAATGCAGTTGGCATAATGTCTGAGGGCTGTTCCTGGCAGTGGCAATACTATTTTTACTGAGCCACTTGGTACAAAAATGCATATACATTGTTTACTAGTCATGCTGTATAAGTTTGCTTGTTTGAGTTCATAACAAGTTAATAATTAGATACTACTCAATCGGCTGCTACTTTTATGGGTGCAACAGCTTCTGCTTTGGCTACAGACAGTTAAGGTTTTGTAACTGTGGAGGTAGTGGTGAACAGTACATTCAGCTGATGAACAGCTGAATCCTGTCTGTCCTGAGGATAGTGCTGTTCCAAGATTCCCTTGAGTAAGTACCACTTCTTATATAGGTACAGATTGGACAGAAAGCATCAAGCTTTGTATATTTACACACTTATAAATAGACTTTGCTTAATCTCTTGCAGATTATTTTTTCTCCTTTTTAAAAAGTGAAGAGGAATACATGGGTATGTGTCACCCAAATCTGTTCACAAAGCATTAAAAAAAGCACCAACAACAAAACACAGCAAAAAAACCCCCAAACAACAGAGGCTTAAAATGCTGAGAAATGTGTGGTTTGCATCCCTGATGCACAGATCACTTTAGCATTGGGATACTTTCCTGATATGGGTTTTTTTGTTGTGATGACATAGGCACGTTAATGTTATTCTCTGTAACTAGTGAACTGACCAGCTATTGAGCTGGATTTTCTTAAATATAGAACAGAAAAAAATGCGGTTTTAATTAAGCTGTTTGAAGTACTAGGAGTACTAAGACTATTTAAATTCTTATGCCTATGTAAATGGGTGTAAGGTTAGCCATTTTCCAAAGAAATATGCTAATCATTTTTGTTAAGGGTGGAGGCAGTTCTCTTTGTGGTATACAAAGGGTGTAACAGGTTGTTCAAAAAAAAAAAAAAAAAAAAAAAACAAACATAAACCCAAACCACCAGTGTGTTGGTTCAGTTGCAGTGAGATTTTGCCTGGTTAGAGTTGAATTTAAGAAAGAACATAACAAAGCTGTTTTTTATTAAAGATTTTCTTGCCTTGTATATCTTTTCACTTTCACCCTGTTTTTCACACGTGGCATTTAGTTTTGGTACATCATCTACTCTCAGAAAATCAGGAGGAATTTTCTTCCTAACGGTTTCACAAACAACTTCACAACTATGACATATCCAGTTTCCAGAGGGGTGCTGGAATTATTTCAAGGGTTGTCTTAGAGTGAGACCACCTTTTTCCAAAGCTTAAAAAAAAAAAAAGGCAAAACAAAACAAAAAAATACAACACCCCCCGCCACCACCTGTCATTCTTTAGAAGCACATACACAGATATATTTCCACATCCTCTTTAGATATGACTCCCTTTGTGCCTTTTGGAGACTAGGCTAGGAAAAGGGCTTAATAGTTAACAGGATCAGCTCCTTTGAGAACGTTTATAAGGCAAGGGAGAGAAAAAAGAAAATATTCTACCACCCTAAGTTTGGGAATGGCTTACTTAGTACTGGCAGAGAGATAATTAGTCAGCAGGCACTATCAAAGTCCAGGGGTGATTACAGTAGACAAATGTGTGTTTATTACTTCAACTGTTGCTCACTTCAGTTATTAATTTCCTGTCAAAACAGAAATACTACAGAGATGTTTCTGTGTTGCTGTCTTCATGCATTCCACTTAACCCCTTGATATCTTCTGACCATGTCCACTTAGATACCAAATACTGAGTCATTATAGGCATGTGGTAATCATTAACCATGAATAGTTGTGTAGCAGTCCTTGGCATCTGTCAAATCTAGGATTAAATATATACCGAAGTTGGTGCAGGTGTGCGCCCGGCCATAGAAGCGATGGGAAGGACAGGGAGTCTTTTCCTGTGCCCTTTACAAACCTCCATGGCCACCAGCAGTGCTTAATTAGTTAAGCACATGTTGTTGGGCATTCATCAAGTTGCTATCCACTGGAATTGCTTAAATGGCAGTAAAAATAGGGCTGGTTTGTGGTGTTTGGGGGTTGGTTTTTTTTGCTTTTAGCACTTGAAATAGTGGGGCCTTTCTTCCATATGTCAGTGAATTTTAATCCTTTCTTATGGCAAAACTTTAATATTTCCTGTCTACCTTCTTACAGTGTTTGAGTGGATTCAAGGCTTTTTTTTCTGTTGATAAACAGAACAGAAAAGTCAGCTGTATTTAAGTAGTTCATTCTCATAGGTTAGATACACACTGTTTTTTGTAATCATCCTTGTTTCTGCTCCAGAACTTTTAAAAGACAACTGTGAAATACTTGCATTTTTTTCATTGCTGTTTTTAATGTTAATTATGTTCTGTGGGTTTCTTTCCTAAACAACTAGTCATAAAAAAATCTTTACACTTATCTGTTAAAACATGCTGGTGATAGGTTTACTTGCTCATTCTGTGTTTTCCACTCACAAATGGCTGATAATTGGGGAAGAAATATTGACAGTTGTAACAACAGATCTTATTGCCATAGAGGGACACCATCAATTCTTACTTGAAATTAAGTCATTGAGGGAGTTAATCTTGACTATTTAAGACTTCATTTTAAAGTTGCTATGTTGATTTAAAATATGAAATTTTCTGTATTTTATTACACCAGATATTGCAAGAGAATAGCAAAACAATCAGTTTTTAATGAAATAACAATACTCAACTTTTTAGCCAGCCCAAGAGTGTCCCAAGGCTTTTGTTAAATAAACTGAAAGAAGTGAAACTCCCCTCTGCCATTTCTTGGAAAATTAAGTTTATGGAGGGCGGCATTTAAACAGAGTCCTTCATTTTCTCTGTTGAGACCATTCATTTTCTTTATTGAGATATTTTAAGTTTGGAAAAAGTCAACTCCAGGGCTTTATAATCTTTACTTGCAGTTCATTCTTCTGTACCATTGCTCCTTAAGCAAAAGATTACTATGAATTGTACATGGTACAGTCACTGCCTTGTCTGCTTTTACTTTACTATGTAATGCACATTTACTTCTGCAGTCAATAATAATCAATAATGCTAAATGCACAGACAAGACATGTTGGAAGATTAGTGGTCGAAAGGTATTTCTGTCCCTCTGCAGAACTGCTGGTTCAGCTGAAAGAAGGAGATCTGAAGGGAATTTTAACAAACAGGGAGCACTGCTAGAAGGCATCTGTGTAATTATCCTATTAAAACAGAGTAACATCTGCATTATCTGTGCAAGTGCAGAATGTAAGGTAACATTATGTTCTCTAATCCTGTCTGAGAGCATTATGAAGTTAAAAGGATAACATTTTACCAAATCTGTGTTTTAACATGATAGGTTACACTTAATTACCTTTTAATTAGTTTTCTTCTCATTAGGTTTTATGCTAAGGACCCTGCCTCTAGCCCTCATCACAGAGCTTTTCTTGTCTTTGGATTGTTTATGCCAGGTTTTATCTTTGAGTTTACCATGAAAAAATGGTCCTACTGTGTCTTGAAGGCCGTTACTACAATTCTTTTTCCCTAGTGTGTGCAAAGCTGCGAGAATATTAATTTTATATACAAAAAAAACCACGTTGTAGCATTCAGAAATATGTGTTTTGAATTTAGTTGCAAAGAGCAAACACATAGCAGTATGTTTTATGAATAAGGAGTAACTATGCATGGCAGGGCCACACGGTAGCAAGAGGAGATTATCCCAGCCTTTGGACTGCTTGCAGTGTAAGCCAGGAGAGTGTATTGGCTTAAATAATGTAGTTTTCTTTTTTCTTCTTTACCCCTGAGGGAGTCTGATTTCCTGATCACCTATCTAGCCATATGCCGTAGCTCTTGCCAGGAACTCTGAGCAGTGTCACTGCCAGCTAAAATTACTTGTTTTCTGAGAACTGAATTATGTTGAGAATTGTCTTAAATTGCTGCACTGGCAACATCACAAGGTTTTGTGTATACACACACAAAAAATATGTAAAAGCAGCCTTACCTTGAAATTCAGCTTAGAAACCTCTTCAAGCATTGAATTTGATCCAGATACTGAGAGGTGTTCTACACCTGCTCAGGCGCATCGCTCCCTCTTTGTTCTCTTTCCAGTGCTTTTCTCAGCTTCTTTGTGCTCTGGCTAGTACAGCACAATGTTGATACATACAAATTAAACATTTACAAAGAAAGCATATTGTCTGCTCCTATTTAGTACCAGTTAGAGTGAAGACCTAGTACAGCTAGTAAAAACTTCTAATATGTTGTGATAACTATATGCTGCTTTTCTTCCCTTTTGCAACAGGATGGAACTGAAATACAGATATATGTTGACTAAGGAGTTGGAATAAGACTGAGTCCTGCTCTGTGATATTTATGTACCTGGACCATGAACTCGCTGTTTGGCTTCACGCTTTAGGAACCTTTGTAGTAACTGTGTGAAGCTGTTGGGAATCATGGCATTCTCTCCATGGAAGCTGTCCTCTCAGAAACTTGGCTTTTTTCTGGTGACTTTTGGTTTCATTTGGGGAATGATGCTCCTGCATTTTACTATTCAGCAGCAAACACAACATGAAAGCAGTTCAGTCCTGCGTGAGCAAATTTTGGATCTCAGCAAAAGATACATCAAAGCATTAGCTGAAGAAAATAAAAATGTGGTTGATGGGCCTTATGTTGGGACAGTGACAGCATACGGTAAGTGTGTGCTCTAGATTACATGGTAATCTGATTAAGATTTTTTCTAAATTGTCCAAACATTTTACTTCATAATGCTGCTCAATTGACAATAGTTTGCACTGTGGATTTTCTGCAGATGGAGAAAACAGTCTTCACTTGTAAGTATGAAATGGGACAAATTTTACATTTCCAGTCACTTGGAAATGAAGTTGTTTGCTAATTTTTACTACATCTGTCTAGTAGCTATATCTAGTATACCTCAGGTTATTTGTTAGAACTTCATTAAAAAAAAAAACAAACTTTTTTGTCATTTTTGAGAAATCGGAGGCTTTTCAGTTTGTTTGTCAGTGATCTAAGAAATTTCTTGTGGAAGAACTTGCCTTACTGATAAAGAGCAAGACCTGCTATGTTTATGTCTTCTTTCCCATTTCACTTCTTTGTTCAGTCAATTTACTTAATGCTTAAGTTTATCTGGCATAAACTTAAATTAAGTATATCGTATTTGTCTCAGGGTAGAGAACTCTTTGTGAGTTTCAGAGCTTTGTTCAGCAGCAAGTTTTAATGCTTACTCTCTTCCATTTTGTACAACATGAGAATTAAGTTTGTGTGCATGTGTGAGACAAAGCATGCAGAAAAGAACAAAGCATGTCACCAGAAAATATGAAAATAAAACTATAATCCAATTTCAGGTTAGGTGTGGCCCCTTTTCAATCTGATAGGAACACACCATACACCTTACTTGTTTAGCATGTTTTAAACTCACTTTCTTTCCTATTTACCTGTGCATTTTCAGGCTGTCTGGAAAGTTAATGGCTAATTAGTCATCTATATTTGTTTCCTTTCATAGTTGCCTTAATGTTCAGTTCTGAAGAAACCGGATAGATGTTTTTTGTAGGCTTAGACAAAGAATAACGGCTAGGATGCAACAGATAATAGCTGCACGTTTTTCTCTAGTTTTCTCTTAATACTCTTTACATTTTGGTGCATGTAATGAAAATATCCTGCTGAGAGGTTCTCTTCATGTCTTGTTTCTGTTACCATTTTTTTCCTCTAAAAAAACCCAAATTTTTGAGTTTGTGTGAAGGTGCTTGCCTGTAAACCTGAGATTATCATCCCAAACAGAGCTAACAATTATATTGCTTTGTTACTTAAATAACAAGCTGTCCTTTTTCTGTAATTTTTACTGATTAGTGACTGCATGTTGAACTATATTGGTATTGTAATCTTACAAAGCAACACAAGCTAAATACAATGGTACTAGATCAAAATTTAGATTGAAGACCTCCAAGCAAGTAGAAGTCTCTAGAGAATTCTGTGCATAGGCTTAGAACAAAACCCTATCTGCTACATAACCATCATCGGTGTCCCATTATCTTGTAAGGGTTCTTGATGGTAGGCGAAATGAAGAAAAGAAAACACAAAACAAAACAAAACAAACCGTAAACAGTATCTCTCCAGAAACTGAAAGGTAACTGCATTAGTAAGTGCCCTAGCTAGGTCTGAGTGTACAGGATATCCTTAAGCTAAGTTCCCCCTGCAGCTTGTTGCCCGTAGCATTCATTTCCTGTTCCAAATCCCACTGAGGAATAAGTTGTTAGCCGCCAAACAGTGGTCAAGTTCCCTAGGAGAAGTTAAACTGCATCTGAAAGTGGGTGAAATAACTTTGTAATGCTTCTGTGAAGGAAAAACTAAGTTTTGTGTAGAAATTTCAAGTTCCATGGCTGAGAAGAATTTTAATTTTAAAGACAAGTTTGGACAGGTGTTTTCAATTAAGGAGTTTGGAAGGGTGCAAAATAATGGTAACATATTTATTTAAAATAGTAGAGGGAAAAGTGCTATGGTAAGTGAATAACACAATTTTAAATAAACTTTATGAAACTGAGTACAGTAATTACTTAATAAGTTAGTTTGTCCTGTTTGGCATACCAAATGATTTGTTGATAGTAAACTATCAGGTTAGCTGCTCAGGAATAAACACATTAATGACTAATGTTAATGATAATGAGTAGAAGTTGGTTCACTACTCTGTGAAAATCAACACCCTTGCTATTTAGCCTTTTTATTTCTTTTAATCTTATCCTCTGATTGGAATTAATGAGAACACTCATGATTTCCATGTTCAAGAATAAGTTTTAAGTTTGCTTGATTTGGCTGCTTTTATCCACCCAAAAGATTTTCAGTCATTCCTCAACTGCGAGTGCACAGCTTGTTCACTTGCTCACTTTTTCTTTCTACCATATATTCACCTGTCAGGTAGGTGGATCAAACACTTTGCATTTAAAAGTTCTAGTCCAAATATACACAGTCAGTATTAGATTTTTCTAGCAGTAAGCAGTTGTTATATAAAAATTATTATGAATCTGTGCTTCTGCCCTCCCCTTCTCAAACTAGCCTCCAGTTGCTTTTTTGTTCTGGTAAGCAGTCTCTAATATCAGTGTGTTTGTATCAGTAATAAAAAATTACAATGTTTAGCCATTTTTCTCTTCATGATCTGTGTATGCCTTTATGTATGCTATGTTTCTTTCTCGTTGTTTCCTGAATTTATTTTTTTTACTATTTCCTAGATTTTTTCCTCCTCCTGTACCATGGTTTTGTTCATGTTAAATCCCTGCTCCCATCCTCCCTTTTCTTCTGTGCACTATACTGTTAAATGACTTCTGGACCCTTTTTAAAATAGTCTAGATCGTTAGTGCTTAAGATTCCATCTTCTCATCTTTAAAGGACATTCCTTTTAAAGGAAAAACATGATTTTAAAGAAAAAGATCTGTTTTATGGCTCTATGGTATAAATATAACTCTCCTCTTATTTGGAAAAAAGAATTATAAGCTTTCTAAAAGTAATAGCCTTTTGTTTTTTGCTCTCTCATTTGCACAAGAATTGGGCTAGTCATGGAAAGAAAAAAAAAAAGGGAGCACAAAATATGTGTGGCAAAAAATACAACTGATGTAGGAGCAGAGGAATCTCTTCACATCTATGGAGAAATTTTCTATTACAGATCTGAAAGTTATTTGATTCCAAAGTTGTGGAAAGCAGAAAATATATTATATATATGCACATGTAATTATTTTATGTAATTAAATGGGAAAATAATGCAAATTTACCATACCAAGTTCTTTAATCCTGAGACAAGGGTAAATGAACGAAGAACAATACTTTCTTTCATCTTCTTTGGCTTGTTGCCACTATAATTATACTGCTTAGTCTGATAGTGGTCTATTTTGCCCCTCTTGCCCACAATTCTTTTAGCTTGCCCAACTGTCTATGTTACTTAAAGAAATCTGAACAAAAGGAAAGGGAAATAAAAATATCAGAGAACTCTTTCTGGGTTGTCATTTGATATGCTATATAATAACTCCTGTTATTATTTGTTGCTTTCCATGTGAAGGAGGTGCTGTGTCAGACCAAATAGATAGGTAGAGGCAATCACCAACAGACTGAAGAAAAGAAGCAGGTGTTTTATGGTGTTTTGTGTATATGACAGAAAGGTTGAACTTAATGTTTTTTTGCCAATGCAGTTGTGCACTGTTTGGCACACCAAATGAGATGCAGGAGGTTTTTGTACTGACTCAAAGCTGTCCCTTTTGGGAAGGGTATTTTTGTTTCCAGGTGACTAAGCATCTAACAGTCTGTTCCCTGATAGTGCTTGAATATGGGCTTAGGTTTAGATTCATTATTATTTTAGCAGCTTTTTATTACTTAACCTATTTCAAAGCATGCTTTCTTCTTTTTTTTTTTTTTTTTTTTGGGTTCCCATGTGTGTACCCATAAAGGTGCACACTTCACCTTGAATATAGGGTATGTATGTAAGTTGCAGTATGCTTTGTAAAATATACAAGAAGACAAATTCCACGTCCAAGGAAACTAATACCTGAGGCTGAATAAATTAGGAAATGTTAGTGCGTAGAACTGCTAATGACAAAGATTTGCACTAAGAAAGTGTCTATATATATTCCAGTCTCATTCTTGTATCTATTTTTTGATTCTGTCTGACAGTGTGCATTGCATTATTAAGCAATTTAACTTTTCATTTTCATTTGTAGATTTGAAGAAGACTCTTGCTGTCTTGTTGGATAATATCTTGCAGCGCATTGGGAAACTGGAGTCCAAGGTGGAAAATCTTGTACTTAATGGAACAGGAGCAAACTCTACCAACAATACTACCACTCCTGCTCCCAGCTTAGGAGCAGTTGAAAAGCTTAATGTAGCAGGTGGGTATGGTAATTGTTTAAAATATTTACGGGCTGTTTAATCTATATTTTTCTCTCTTGGCCATAGCATGATTTTTCAATGTTAGATATTTGGAATGTCTTAGAAAACAGAATTCAAAGTCTAGCCTGTATCAATGGCAATCTTAATTCCAGTGGTCTTGTACAAGCTCAGAGGAAGACTTCTATGGTAACTTGAACACACCGAAGAAAATCAAATTGTCTGCCAAATGGGTATAGTCTACCTTGTTCATAGTAGATGTTACATAACTTAAATGGTTTCTCTTTAGAATGATGAAACTGGACAGACTTTTCCTCTCTAAGCCTAATTACTTGGGTTGGTATGAATCTGCTCTGTGTTTCAACTATATGCACTTCATTGGTTATTAACTGAAAAACATCTATCATGGCTGTTACTGGTTATGATTTTAAAATGTTCTTCCCTACTCTGCTCAACAGCTGTTATGATTTGACACACAGAGATGACCTAACTGGTACCCTCAGCTTAAATAAATATATTTTTTAAAACATCATTTTAAGTCATTAATTTTGTCTTCAGTGAACGGACTGTTCACTACCCTTACCATTTCTCAAAGCATTTGAGTCATCCTGTGGTGGTAAAATGCCTTGCTGGCCTCATCACCTGCATGTCTTGGTTCCTTTAATGTTCCCAGCTGTGAATGTGGTTGGCACACTGAATAAATCTTGTTGTTTATAATGCCTTGTCTATTGCCCTGCATTTTGCTCTGCCACCAAGTCTAAAGTCTGTCCTGCTAATGATCTTTGCAGTCCCAAAAAGGGAGCAGAGCAGAAGAGTTAGGGCAACTTGGTAAATAGGTTGATAGCTGTGTTCCTAAGTCTTGCCTGTGCTTGGGTTTCCTGTAAAAATAAATACTTCTGTTGAGAGGTTGTTACCCTCTTAAATTTGTCAAAACAGAAGCAGATGCTACCTTTGGTAGGGTAATGCAACTGAAAGGAAGTCAGGGAGAGCAGACGTACATGTGATTACCTGAGTACAGTATACCAGCAGAGTTCTGTGTCAGCTGCTCTGTCCTAACTGCATTTTTATATACCAGGATGATGAAAGGATGTTATCTCTTGGTGAGACAGACCTTTGTGTCTCTCTTGCCACATAGTAAAAATATGTTTATAGGCATTTACAATAGCCCTTTGCATGTATGGTTTATTACTGCTTGCCTTGTGGTGGTTTTCCCCACCCTGTGTCTCTCATCTTGGTTAGACTGAAGGCAGATTAGGAACAAGTAATTGAAGAATTACAGCACCTGAAGACTACTAATTGGGTGAACCATGTTGCTGTCACAAGGAACACAAGTTCTTCATTGGAAGATCTTCCACTTTGATGGAAGGTGCTAGTACAGTATTGTTACGGATTCTGGGCTATATATAAAATGGAAAACATACTGGTATATTTTATTTTTATAGCTGGACAAAAGAGAGACTTAATGCTGTTATTTCAGTAGATTTACAGATAATTGGAAGAAGCATATTCATGCTGTTGCTTATATATTTATAGGCAAGGGATTGTTGTTCTTATCTGACTAGGAAACATCTCTCATCAGTTGCTTAGGCTGAATTTAATTTTGTCTGTTATTCTTGGAGTTTGCTAGATTCACAGTTTTAGTACTCATGAGCAATGTTTAAGGAACTTGGTAGGAGTTTTCAGTTTGCAGTGTTTACATAGCTTTTTGCTGCCTGAGTCTTGCTCTGTGGCAAAGAACACTATTTGTCTTATTAGAGCTTCAGTTTTTTACCTTTGACTCTTGGTATGCTAAGTTTAAAATATATGAAGCAACTGTATTAAACAGCAACAACAGAAAACCTCTAGGAAATGGTTTCTTAAGGTTTGATTAATGTATTGGTCTGGTACCTGTTTGGATAATGTTACTGTTCAGGTATCTCTGAGCTGGATGATACCAATGGGTAGAATAGAGCTTGAAGCTAATTCTTGCATTAAAGTGACTGCTATTCATCCATTTGAAGCACTCAATGGAAATTCATCTGATCAGAGGCAGCCAAATGGAAGTGAAAAACTTGTTTCTACTTCTGTCTTCATAGCAGTTTCCTGACAGTAACAAACTCTGGAAGCCATATGATACAAGTAAAACTAGAATATAAATATCTTCTCTGTTAGGAAGGAATTGTTGAGGAAATAAGCTAGGTGAGTAAACACTGATTACAATACCAGCTACAGTGTTGGTTTTGTCTGTAATATTTCAACAGCATCCTTTTCTATTGTGCTAGAGCAATTGAGATAATCTGAAAATTGTTGTAGAGAAGACATTTTGTTACCCAGCAGTTTGTCATTTTACTGGAGCTGAAACATGTATGTATACAAATACACATGATACTTCAATTGTTTTCTTTATAATAGTTTATTCAGCTGTTACCCTATGAAGCGATTGCAGAAAGCAAACATAGTAGGATTACCATTTCTCTCTATTAGCAGTAATATTTTAACACTGACTTTAGACAAATTCATAACTATTGCTAGTAATTTCACTCTTTCTGTCTGGACAACTGTAGTATTTATGGAGCATCCTAATAACATCATGTTTAATCTTTTTAGTCACTTTTTTAAAAGACTTCTTGAGTTTATTTTTTTACATATTTTTTTTACCTTGGAGTTGCTGCTTAAAACTCTGAAGTAAATTAAGCATTTTATATCCTCATTCATCAGTGCAACAGTGCAGTGTCATTAGCAGACTTTCCTAGAAGAGTCCTGCATCCAGTGGAGCTATTTAGTGCATTTATTATTTTTGGACTGGGCTGTCCCAGTACACTGAGACCTGATTCTATAGTCAGTATGACCATGTCTCTTTACCTATGGAAAGCCTTTCTGAAATAAATGGAGTTTCATGCAGGCTTAAGCTGCACTTTAGCATCTATTGACACTGCTTGTAAACCTTGGTAGTAAAGAGTGGAGCCACTAATCATCTGGAAATCTGCATTTTGTCCTTACTGACCTTGTGTAGAGTTTAGTGTGTGTTATATACTACCTGAATAGGTACAAGTGATAAAAAAAACACGTAAAGTAATGACAGGGAGGTGATTATACTGTAAATACTTGTCCTCATTGCTGTTTAAGACTGGACAGAAACTCAAGAGCAAAACATAATATTTTTCTTATAATTTAAAAATTACTACCATGGCAGGGTAGACTTGTCAATCTGAATGTGCTGTGAGTTTTTCTTCATTGTGTATTTTAAGTATTAGGGATACTTTAATGGAAAAAAAAATAGTACACTCTTATCTGCAAACTAAGAAGAACAGAGATGATGATGACTCAACATTTTTCCTCCCAAGGCCTGTTTGCAAGTAGAGTTTTCTTTTATTAGGTACATTGCTGTATTCATAAAGCAGTCCTAAGAACAGTATCCATATGCTACAGGTAGAGGATCATGATAATGCAAGAATCCTGGTTTAGTTCCAAGGTCAAGTTACTGAAATCAGTCCAGGTTATGGTTTTATCTGACTTTAATAAACACAGCTGGTGTGTGACCATGACTCAGACTAGTGGATTGCAAAATTCTTTTCAGGACACCTGTCCACCTTTTCAATATAGGCAAATATTATTAAAAAATGAATATTTATAATATTAGAATGTATGGATGTTTTCTTCAGTTCCTATATACATTGTTTTTAGCTCAGCTCAGATAAGAGTTTGAATGCAACTGTAAGTAATCCAGGTAACAGGGAAGAGAATGTATGTTGAGTAATGGTTGTCAGTTGCAAAGTGGTTGAAAAATCAGTTTGTTTAAAATGCTGGCATTTCTCAGTGAACCAAGGTCAGAGGGTATTTAATTTTTGCCCAGTATACATCTTGATGGCAAAATGTCTGTTGGTCTAGGAAAGTTCCTACTTTTAATTAACAAACTTGCAAGGTTACTTCTTCTAGTGCACTATGTTTGAGCTAAAACAGCCTTCAGTTACCAGTCTCTTGACATTACAACATGGAATCTAATGAAGAAAAAACCTTGATATTATTTTGGGGATGTAGCTTTTAGAGTGGTCACTGCAGCTGCCTGAGCAAATAAATTTCAGTAGTTCATGTTCCTCTAAGGAATAGATCTGCCCTCTGCTAATGGGCAGCAGATACCTTTAACCTGATGACAGTGTTAATAGAGGAATACACAGCCTTTGCAGCCTTACAAGTGTAAAAGCAGATGAAAAATTTTCTCTGAAATGTATGGATGAGAAAAGCTCTAATAATAATGAGTTTTTCAGCTGCTTTTACCACAACTGTAACCACTGTTTCTAGTCAGGATGTCATCTGAAAGGCTATCAAATATCTTCTAAAAGTTTTATCAGCAACTTCTGTAGGTTTTCCTGGTGAATAAATGATAGCACCAGTAGCAGAAAGATGAAGTAGGACAGTTTCTTAGGAAAACAAAAAATGTTGGGGAAGTACCTGGCTATCAAAGATTTTTCTAAAAAAAAACAGTACTCAACAAAACAGAATGTAGTCTTGACTGTGTAAAGCATTAGACAATGTGAGCCACAAAGTCTGGGGAGGTCCAGATAAGCGTTGGACTGGGAGGTGTTCTAAACTGGAGTATTATGCTAAAATAATCCATTATAAATTATTTAATAAAGGAATGAGGAATACCCTCTCTGAAAGAGCCTGTCAGCAAAGGAAAAAAGAGGCACTGGCATGGGAAATAACCAAACTGTTTAGCAGTTTGGAAAAAATATCTGTCTTTGTTTTAGGGTTATTAATACAGCCAGAAGTTGAATAATCTCTGGGCAAACAGTAGACATCATGGCTATTTATGCCATGTAACAGCCTAACAGAAATGTTTGTGGCTTCCTAAAACAGTTTTGATGAATTTTTAGCCTATGCTTTGACCACTGTGGCCTGAACAAGCAATTTATGTGATAGGTATTACTTGCTAGAGAGCCCATGACTTTTTCTTTCAGTAGAGTATACTCTTCATTACCATACTGAAACCTGAGATATGCTGGTATCTGGAGATTAACTAGCC